GAATCCACTGAGATAATTGGTCCATCCTCATCTGGTATGGTGCATGCAGCGCTTTCTTGGGGTTTAAATTTTGCAATCATTACTGTTTTTATCTATTTCATTGCCTCATCCCCTTCTAGTCTGACCTCTTAAACTGTAGTTATAAACCTCTGTTTAATGCTAGTCTTATTACTCAGAGAATTTTGATGGTCCCTACACTTTTCAGCTGCCTTTCTATCCTTTTTGTTTACTTCCCCCATTCATTGGCCCCCTTTCTTCTAATCTTTTCACTGATCAAATCAGACGCTTCCCTTCTGCAACTCAAAAAGTTATCCAGTTTTCTTTTGAAATCTTCTTCCGGTTCACTCCTCTGTTTAGCATACTGTGTTCCCTGGAGGCTTCCTGACGTCTTACTAAGGCTCTGTTAAGTTCCTCATCCCACCAACTCTTGGGTTTGTGTCTGCTTTTCCCAGTTGATTTGACTCGTACCTTAGCAAGCTCTAACTCAATCGGGTTAGACTTGTGTACGTCTATTCTGTTTTAGTATCCTCGGTGATTATTTTCTCAATCTCTTTAGATGCTATTTCTTTCTATTTGCCTTTTTGAATAAATATTACCATGTGGTTACTCGTAATACCGCTTTTCCAATTACATTTCTTTTCGAAAACTCAGTTTGATACGTTTGTGATCACTACCTGAGCTTGTAGACCCATATTCATCTATGCTCATCACCCTTAGCCGATCATACATCCTATGTGACATTATTCTTTGATTTATCGTCGACTGCAGCTTTCGCACTTCTCATGTTATCTGCCCTTCGCATTTCTCGGTGCTGTTGCAAATGCTGCCTTCCACATGCAGATTGTGTCTTTCACAGATATCCACTAGCATTCTGCCTGTTGGGTCAGTATATCTATTCATATCTTCTATGTGCGCATTCATATCTCCTGACATAATTACCTCGCACTCTTCTACTAGTACGTCAATGTCATTTTCTATACACTGCACCAATTGTTGGTTTTCCTCTCTGGCTTTTGCTCCTGTCCACAAGTGAACAAAACCCAGAAGCGTCATTTCCTCTGGCACTTTCACTTTTAGCCATAAATGTTGCTGGCACTCCTGCTTGATCCTTTGCCAGTCTGTACTTTTATGAATAAATTCCCCGATACCACCCCCTTTATGCTGCATTCTGTTCTATTACAATATTCCCATGCGTAGTCCGGATTGTTAGGTGGTTGCTCCATGTCCCTAAGATGTGTTTCTACAAACCCATATACCATCAGCCTCTCCTCCCTAAGCTGTTCTTCTATCTCTTCCCACTTCAGCCTATTGTGTTCCCAGCACGGTTTTCGAAAGCACTTCTCACGCGAGACTCAATTGGCCGAGTTTACCCACGACCTACTAAAAAGCATGGATGATAACCTTCAGATCGATGCAATATTCCTTGACTTTTCTAAAGGTTTTGGTCGCGTACCACATAATCTATTACTTAGCAAAATTCATGCACTTGGCATTGCCCCGAATGTTGTATCCTGGGTTGAACCCATCCTCTCAATCCGTAAACAATTCACCTCTGCTAATAATAACTCCTCTTTAACTAGCGTATCATCAGGCGTACCTCAGGGCGCGGGCTTACCACCCCTTCTATTTTAATATTCGTAAACGCCCTACCCACAAACATTCAAACAAAACTACGACTGTTCGCGCACGACTGTGTCATATACTCCCCCATTCACAACATTGAAACCAGCACTAAACTACAACAACACCTTGACACAGCTGCGCTGTGGTGCCAAGACTCATCAATGCCGATAAACCTAACCAAACGCAAATCGATGTCATTTTCCCGTAAACGCGCCACGGTTCATCATACCTACTTTATCAATTAGCTTCCTCTCGATTCAGCTTCATCGTACAGGTATCTTGGTGTGCACATGTACCCAACTCTTTTATTTGCACCACACGTGCAGTCCATCTATCTGCTCAGACGCTCTGCGCACGCTTGAATTTCTGCACCGTAATTTAAAATCAGCATCTCCTGACCTTAAAAAACTAGCATACTTAACATACGTACGCCCAAAGCTCGAATACGCATCGTTTATTTGGAATCTATCCCAGGCATACCTCGCTAACGAACTATAATCAGTCCAAAACCGCGCTTCCCACCTTATAACCTCACAGTTCTCCAGAGAAATCAGCCTCACCGCCATAAAACAATCAATATAAATACAATCTCTCGCGTCACGCCGCCTCATCTCACGCCTATGCCTCCTGCGTGGTTTCTTTTTCCGCCCGAAATCAAGACACGAACTTTTACAGCCTTCTAACAGAACTTCTTCTCGCATCAACCATTCCATCCCCATTGCACCAATCAACGGCCGTACATCTGCAATGAACGGCTCCTTTTTTCCCAAGCAATTATACTTTGGAATCGCCTCCCCGACTCCATAGTGGCCACACCTGACCACACATCATTCCGCGCAAAATTGGAATCCCACTTTGATTTCACCCAATACCTCATGGCTGTAGATATATCCCACCAGCGTACTGTATGTACAACTTTTTTGTCATATTGTTTGCGTTCATTTTCCCAGTCGAAAGTTTTTTTGTTCATTGTTTGATTAGTTTTTGTTGTTATTCTGGACCAAACTTCCATATGCGTATTCAGAACTGTATTGTTTATGATAAGTTGATCACATTGAATTTTACACCCTCACAGCGTATTTGTTGTCCCCCTTATCTAATACCCTCGGGCCTTTAAAGATGCAATAAATGAAATGAAATGAAATTTGTGCAACCCTGCACGTTAATATACCCTACGTCTAAATTGCCTCAGCCGTTGTGGCTACATCGATTTCTGCCCCAGAATCTACGCGTCTTAGATATTGGTGCCACTTTGCAATCACATCAGTTTATGCCACCTGTCAAAAAGTTCCCCTGTTTTTTTTTGTTACTAGCTATCCAGGACCCCGAAATGCTCGTGTCCTCCCCCCTCCCAAAAAAAGCTACTGCGCGTCCTGCAAGTCGCCGACCCACCTCATGACCTAGCCACCCACCGAAGTGAATTATGTCTTGTTGAAAACCACCCCACCTATGCATCTCTCTGTTTATTTCCACCACCTCAAAGCATTTATCCCGACTAATCTGCCACATCTCCTGCTTTGCGTTGACAACCGCTCTTTGCACGTTGCCGTCACGCACCAGTACCTCCAGTATCGTGCATATCACTACCTGTACTTGAGGAGAAATGGCGTGCATGTCATCGACCCCTTTCGCTAGTGTGGTCGCTAGTCTTGCGTATCTTCATTTAAGACATCGTTTGAACCACCTGCAATTATCACGAGGTTCGGTCCATCAGCTGCAGTTTTGAGTTTTGCGCTTGCTTGCCTCATGACTGCTTCCAGCTTGCGTCCGGGGAACGTCCCTACTGCCACCCTCTTGTCACCTCTTACCCTCTCTTTGATTGCTTCTGCGCATCGATTTACAATCAAATCCCAGGTGATTATCACGTGCTGTGACTTTTCAGCTGAAGTATCCTTCACCTGAGGGTTACTTGCACCTGTGACGCCGGTCGCTTTGTTCTCTCCCAACCACACCACTACTTCGCTGAAGCTGGGTCTTGCGACCATTGAACCGGCTGAACGTGTTTTTACCGAACTTGCTTGCTCTTTCTACTCCGCCATTCTGGTTGCCGGTGCCCTACCGTTTTCTCCGTCGGCCGCTTCCTTGTTCACATTCGCTGGTGCCTCCTCGGCGCACCTGAGCTTTTCTCCCAAAGCTCTCGTTTTTTTCTCTGTCGCCAACGCAGTCTCCAGCTTGGCGATTCTCATCAGCAGTTCACTCTGGGCAACCATCATTTTGCCCATTCTTTCCTCAACCTCACAATGCCTAGACTTGGCGTTAGCTTCCTCTGCATTCTCGGCTGCATTTGTGTCCATTTTTTAACCCACCCCGCATTCTGATTATTTTACAGCCTTTTTAATTATGTATTTTTGACACCAATGGTCCTTATGATTTGCCCCACTTGACAATTACAAAACACGGCATACGAAGAACCCTGCCCTAAGAGAAAAGTCCAAGCTCTTCTGCAAAAACCCAAACATGCACACCCAAACAAGATATACCTGGTGACTGACCCCCGAAAAGCCGCGCAATGTAATAAGTGCTATAAAGGTTTAAACTGCTGCCTTAGTATTATAAAAGCATGCTAGAAACATGCAAAAACACTTATCTGCGCAGTCGATCAGGAGAGCTCAAAAACACGTCCGTACACCATGCCAGTTTGAACTGAAGTGTCGACTTCGAGTGCTCCTTGTGGAGAAACTACTGAACTGCAAGGAACCTCTCGTCCCCATGGGAAAGCATGTGATGTCACAAGCATCTTTCTAGAGGAGGCGTCACTTAAGCTTAGGCCACGGTTGCGTTGGGAGCAATGGCGTCACCTTGTCGTGCGTTAGGGTTAGCACTGGCGTCGGCGTGGCACAAACAGAAAGTAGGTGTAGCGACCAAGAATTGGCTCATCTGAATAAACTGTAGCTTTCGTAAGGATCGCTGACCTTCCCAGATCGCTGAGGATAATTTCTCTTTCCAACGGTGCGTAGTTTTGCTGCAATCCTTGAAGTTGGCGGAGCTCCTTTGCAGTCCATCTGCTTGCTCCGACCCCCTAGCAGCGAATCCTCGCATCGAGATTTTTTTTTTGCATTGAAGAAACATTTTTTTGCAGTTGTACGCACAGCATGGAAATATCCCCACTATTTCGTCTGCTTTTATTGTATAGCACATGCTCTTCCGATTGCAATAATATTTTTCGGTGTTGTTCAGGAGTATCTGTTTTCTTATCTATGTAAAAGTTTTCAGTATGCACATATGAGCTAAGATATTTAATATTTTACAAAACACGCAGATACAGCTTCGATAAGTGCTTTTGATTTATGTTCTTGACAAAAATATCCACAGAATAGTCCTCAAATGGCAGCCTAGCGTAAATCATGCTCATGTTGTGTTAAATTGTTTGTACTTACATGCCCGGGACAATCGCTGAACACGCTTGCCTCGAAAACGCCTTCTCCTGGTTTGCTTTTCTCAGGGGGTGCACTGATGAAAAGTGAACTGATTAGATCCTAATATATGACTCAATTGCGCCCATGTATATATATATATATATATATATATATATATATATATATATATATATATATATATATATATATATTTTCAGGAAACCACTAAAGGCCCTCATGGGAAGGTATTACAAGGGGGGTAGGGGTAGAAAAATTAATGTAATGGATGCACATCAGGCATGGCAAAAATTTGCAAAAAAACATAACTTATGTTTAATGAAAAAAGCAACAGAATAACCTACGTCTGTTGGAAATGGGAAAAAAATGAATAACTAAAAACGCAACGAAATAAAACAGAATTACTCAATGATAGACCACAAAAATGAAATGAGTTATTGAAAACAGCACAAAACGCTAAACGTCGTTATCATTTTTAAAAGTTCAATATATTTCAAAATGTACCGTGTTTTATTGCAGTAGTTCGCGGCAGCTGGTTCCATTCAATGATGGTTTTTGGTATGAACAAATAAGCGAATGATGAGGTAAGCCATGTGATGCGTTTGGCCTTCAGAGGGTGATCGCGGTGAGAAAATATTGCTAAAGATGACCAAAAAATCGTTATGAAGCAATAGATGATGAAATATTTTATGAAAAGGAGATAAGTGGGAAACTTTTCAACGATGGGAATGGTTAACAACACTACCACAAGCTTTTAACGCAGTAGCGCTAGTGAAACGAGAGTAGTAAGAACATATGAAACGAGCAGCACGGTTCTGCACGGATTCTATGTTATCAATGATGTATACATGATCCGGATCCCTTATGGCTGAAGCGTACTCAATTTTCGGGCGGATACGGGTAGTATATGCCAATTTTCTCACATGCGTAGGAGCATGAAGCAGATTACGTTTTAAATAGCCACTCGCCACCCCGCGTTTAAAGACGAGGGGTGATTGTCCCCTCTCCTTCATACACACGAAGCATCCTCCTCGCCCTTTAGTTCTTGAATACACGTGAACAATATCAGCACTAAGAGCTATAGCCTATCAAGATTTCATACTTCTCGGCTGCACGCTGTTATCGCCGCTTACGCAGTAGTAAACACAAACATTCAAGTTTGATCGGTTGATTGTGCTCAATATTCATGCGAGACAAAACAGAACGAATATGCGGCTGCATGGCAAAGCATGATATGTGTGGTTTAACGTCCCAAAACTACCATATGAATATGAGAGACACCGTAGTCGAGGACTCTGAAAATTTTGACCATTTGGGGTTCTTTAACGTGCACCCAAATCTGAGCACACAGGCCTACGACATTTCTGCCTCCATTGAAAATGCAGCCGCCGCCGCCGGGATTCGATCCCGCGATGCATCGCAAAGCAGTGCAGGAGACAAATCAAATGTGATATTTTTCGTATATAAACGAATTGACGGCGTGTACGCTGTGGACGTCACGGGAACTTCTGTCGACGTTACAGTAGTGCAACAAGAAGGACGAGAATTATTAGGAAAGAATATTGCGTTTTTTTGTATTTTGGGAGCCTGGTGAGGAGCCCTTTAACATCCCGAGGGAGCGGTTAGCAGCTGTAAGCATGTGATCGATGTGATGGTTCCAGGAGAGATCGGAGGGAGGTGACGTCCTAGATATTTTTAAGACGTGACTGAGTCTACGAGTGTGTGATCAAGTGTTTGTATGGTCGTGAGGCGGCTACAATTTCGGTTAAAGGAGACGAGTTTAGTGTTGGACTGATTTAGCTTCATTTTCTGTGATGGGCACCATGAATTGGTAGATTCGAGGTCAGACTGCTGGGCTTTGTGGCCCTCGTCACTTCTGATGGCACGATACAAAACGCAGTCGTCAGCGAATAATCTAATGTGAGAAGAAATGTCATTCGGTAAATCATTGATAAATATAAGAAAGAGCAGAGGGCCTAGTACGCTCTTTTGTAATACGCCGCATGTGACCTGTGCTTTTGAAAAGTTAGAACCGTTCGCTGAGATGAATTGAATGCGAGAGGAGCGAAAGTCTTTTATACGTGCTGCAACCAGAGAGTCAATATTGAGATGCGTTAACTTGAGTTGTAACCAGTGGTGAGGGACATGATCAAATACCTTCGAGAAGTCAAGAAATAAGGCGTCAAGCTGAAACCCGATGTCCATAAAGGCAAGTAGGTCGTTAGTAAATCCTGCAAGCTGAGTCTCGCGAGAGAATTCCTTACGAAAACCATGCCGCTGTTTCAAAATGCTGTTGTGATCTTAGAAATAGCTTACGATCTGTGACTGAATAACATGTTCGACGAGCTTTGAGAAAGTGCAAGTCAAAGAAATTCGTCTGTTGTTAAGGGGATCGGAGTGAGTGCCAGAATTGAAGATGGGTATAACTTTAGCTTTGCGCCCGTCGTGAGGGCTGGAACCACATATGACTGCGAAATAAGTGCGCAAATTCCTGGACGAATGCTACAAGATAAATTTTTGAGAAGTATCTTATTAAAGCCAAAAATATTCATAGATGTATATTCTTTTAAGGTGGCAAATAAGGAAGCATTAATTATAATGAAGTAACTCATATGAACTGTCGTGATGTGAAAGGTCGAGATATTGCAGTACTACGTCGTTAAACCCCAGTCAAAACATGCACATTAAAGAAACTGTGATTGCTAAAATTGCAAACTGAGCTAGTCCAGCTGCAGAATCGTTTAGCTGCACAACATTATAAATATTGTTCAGCTAAGAACAAACTTCAGGTTATACAGGTATACGACAGCGACTGTCGTATACCTCATCAAAGGTCAATCATCACGATCATCAAAGGTCAATGGCGAAGCCACCAACGCTTCTATAAAACATGCCAGCGAATAACATTAGTCGTCTGCAGTAGATCTTTAGTAACCGGGTCATTTCCTTCTAGACACTTTATTTGCATTCAACTTACTTTGTTAGCGCGCACTAGCACTAAGTGCGTGCTTCCAAAGGTTTTTACCCTAAATTTTAACGATGACAGCATGACGTTCTTTAGTTACCAAATCCTAAATATATGTTTTTGTTTATATATACGGCCGTCTCAAGTGTTGTACGGCCGTCTCAATGTCCTTTCTTGTAGCAGCTCACAACAACAGATCATATAGCACCAAACAGCATAAAAAGGAAAAGCATGTAATGACTAGCAGCTCTTTATTTTTCTGTTTTTTGTTTTTATTTTACATTTTTTTTACCAAGCGTCACTGAAATTCGAAGGATTGATTCGTATTATGAATCGTGCTATCATATTCTTTATATTAACAACCATGCCAAATTAAAATCACCGTATTGCTTGAGTGGTTGTCGAGAAGGATGGGCGACCATTACGCCTAAAACCGACACTATAAAAGACTGCGGAAAATTCTTTCGATACTCCATCATCGTACCTAATATTATCCGCCACAATTACAAGGCCATCTTGGCCCTCAGACTCTGAGATGTCTTCGACAACGTGAAATATAACAGCATCCTTACCAGTCTTAACAGAACGATCTGTGGCTCTAAAGCTTTCGGGTAAATCAGCTCATTCCTTTCGGATCGAACCACTTTCATCTGCACCGATTCTGCTGAAAACGATTCGTATGCATTAGGCACTCACGGTACACCACAGGAAGCGGTCTTCTCACTGCTCCTCTACAGTCTAGTCATGGTGCAACTTCTCGCGCTCCTCAACCAGGTCGAAGGCATACAATACGCCCTATACGTGGATGACATTATTATCCGGACTAATTGGTGCTCCCCTGCATAAATTGAAGACCGCATACAGTGCCAGACGTGAGAGACAGTGGAATTGGGCGTGTTGGTATAACATCATAAAGGTTGCTTACCAGCGCAAACGACAAGGCAGGAGGGGACAGGAGAAGAGGCGAGACATCAGCGCTCTGTCTCGTCTCTTCTCCTGTCCCCTCCTGCCCTGTCGTTTGCGCTGGTAAGCAACCTTTATAGTGTGAGACGCTTATTGTGGATATCTATGCCTCATTATGTGGCCTACAGTGCTCAGCTATCAAATCCTTTCTTCTCTCAGTCTCATCCCCACCGCCGCCGGTTGCCACAAAACTCCGCACATTGGGCCTCCGCATCTCCTCCTCTACGCATCCTGGCTCTACATTGCGCGTCTTCGGCGCACTTGCGAGCAGGTTAGCGGTATGATTCGGCGGGTCACAGCCAAACGTTGCGGCGTTCGCGGTAAACCTTCCCCCCACTTGTCTCACGCATTTGTGGTCAAACGAGTCCTCTACGCTATCATTTGCCTTCGCTTGCGTCGCCACCACGAAAACTAGGACGCACTATTCCGCTCAGTTTACAAGCGAGCGCTGGTCCTCCAATCACCGCTTTGCGGCCTTGGGAGTACACAATTGGTATGCTGAGTTGCGAGAGGCCCATCAAATCAGCCGCCTGTCCCATACCAACGCCTTCTCTATAGAGGAGGCGCTGCCCATACTAAGGTCCCTAGATAAAACCGGTTTCCAAGGTAGCAACACTTCCCCTTTCTTTCTCACTTATGTTCTTGGAGCGCCCCCTAGAAGATTCAGATCTTCCATAAAAAATTGGCAGCATGTCCATGGAGTGAATGATGTAGAGTGGGGCGAAGCATTCGTCAGTCCATTCGTTCTTGCTTCCGTCCGTCCATGCGTCCGTCTGTGTGACCGTCCATGCGTCCATTTGCCCATCCGTGCGTGCGTCTGTTCGTGCGTCCGTCCCTGCGTTCGTCCATGCATCCGCCCCTGTGTCCGCTCATGCGTCCATCGATGCGTCTGTCTGTGTGTCCGTCCGTTCATTAATTCAACACTCCAAGTACCACCATCTCGCATCTTTTCACCATATATTCACCATATAGAAGCACCGCCATCCAGCGGACATTCCAAGGACTAAGCTAGAGGTGGCACACGCACACTTTCTTACGGCTTGCGCTTCGTGTCTACTTCCCACCTTTAATTACCTCGAGTTCATGGTATATATTAGTTCACTGTATTCATGGCACTGCGGCCCAACGCTCGCTAAACCTTTCTAAAA